CACATCAACTCTGTGGATAAATACATCAAGTTCACACGAGAAGATGTAAAAAATGGCAGGCTGGCTTTCTTGGACTGTGAGGTCTCGGTCTCTGATAGAGGACATTTGCAAACTGAGGTGTACCGCAAACCCACCCATACAGCCCAGTATTTGCAGTTTGACTCCCATCACCCATTGGAGCACAAGTTAGGAGTCATCAGGACTCTGTACCACAGAGCAGACAGCGTCCCCACTAGCTCAGGAGCCAGGCAGAAGGAGAAATCCCACACAAGACAGGCTCTAGAACAATGTGGATATCCTAACTGGGATAACTGGAACCACACTGCTCCTCCTGAATCTGGAGTCAACTAAGGCAGAAATAGAAATTGTTTCAAGATCATGGGAAATAACATACAGTAATGATGAACGAGAAGTGGGAGAAATAGATGAGCTCCCCAGTATCTTCTTTTTTACTGGTTAGGAGGCGTTTCACAGCTTCCGCCTGCTAGAGTGGATGATCAAAAACAGTTTTAAATTTATCCAAAAGCATAGAAAAAGTTAGAGTCAAGAAAATGAGAGTCCATGCATGAATGAGCCCAACATAGGGCGTCTCCATTTAGCTTGCTGATAAGGTAAGAAATCTTGGCCAGGTCAGAAGAATAGAGCATGGGAGCTCTCTTAAAAACTATGTTGTATTGTAATAATAAAAACAAAACTCTACACAAATCTGTGTTACCGTTAAATAGTTCTGATGGTCTGAGGTTCTGTTCCAGAGTGGCAGCATTTGGGGGTTGTGCGGCTCGGGATGAAGACCTCGGGTGGAGAAGCAGGTGCCTCTTAGACTGGTCAGGTGGAAGTAATGCCAACAAGGTTTTATTAGTGGTGAACTTTATTCTGTTAAGTTCCTGGAGTTTAGACTGGTTAGTGTTTAATTGAAGGAGGATTTTTTTTTAAATATGACTTCGTGTTTATCTATGCATCAAATTTGCAAGTGAGTGTTGTTGTTGCTCAGTTACGGTCATGGTCTGGGTTTATTAAGGCTGGTCCATTCATTCTGTAACAATTTACTGAGGACCCAGAATAGTTGTCAACTGTAAGAGCAACCTCAAGACCAAGAACAGTTTTAACAGTGTTTATTTACAAGTTAATGATATATAAATAGCCGAACTGCAACATGGAGGAAGGGGCTGGAACTCTGAAGACAAGGAAACAGTAGGAGCCAAGCAAATTTGCAGATGATGATAATAATAATAATAATAATAATAATTTTATTTAAAAAGTGCCTTTCAGGATAACCAACTGTCTGCTTACTTGAGGTGAAGGTGGTAAACTCTGGGGCATTAGAGTCCAAGGTTCCAGGGTCAGTCCAGTGAGGTTCCAGGATGGTTAAGGGATAAATTAAGCAAGTGGGGAAGCCAAGGAGGGAACGAAGGAGGTACTAAGAGAAGGCAGAAGGGTCCAGGGTGTCAAAGGAGCTCAAGAGGTTCTTAGGCATAGGAGCAAGGAGTTATAATAAGAAAAACTCTAGAGAACACAATGAAGGGCCAGGAACACACTACCATCAGGCAGACAATGCACCAGCATAGGAGTGATATTGTCAAGGGCCTTTTATACACCTGCTGCTCATCAGGGTAAGGATCTCCAATTGAGCATGCATCAGGATAGATCTCCAATGGCGACATCTGGTGGAGAAAGCTGGAGCAAAAACCCAGGAGTCTTGCAGTATCGTTTCTGGTAACCTTCCACACATGATTCAATCTTTTAAATTTTCTCATGACAGCTTATCTTGATTGTCCCAAACACCAACCTCTCTTCTTATTTAAGCCAAATAATTTGACTACAATTTGATCTCCACATTTACTGTCCATGTAGAAATTTTAGTTATTTGTATCCTGAAGGAGTACTTGACCTCCAGAACCACATCACCACTGTGCTCATATCTTCCTGAGCTGTTACGTATTCGTGTTTTCTCTCAGTGTCCTCCAGTAAATGCACCACGCCCGTCTGCCCCTGTGGAATCAACTGATTTTTTTAAAGCTGCAAACTTCCATCCAGTTGAAGCACCAGATCGCCTGAAAGAACTCTGATTAGCTGGAGTCAGCCGATGGTATCGGTTTATCTGAACTGAAAAGAAAAGCAACATCAGTCATTGAAACAGAGCTTTCAATAAAATAAAAAAAACCCTAGAAATTTAATAATGATGAATAACATTTCAACAATCTCAGTGTTTTTTCTTTCAGGCATAAATGAAATCAGGAATTACAGATCAACTCTTTTCTTTTTTACTTTAATGTGTTACTGCTTAATAATTCTGGTAAATGCATTTCTTATTGTGATGATAATCTTGGACAATGCTTTCCATGAACCAATGTACATTATGTTGTGTGCTTTTTGCATGAACAGTCTTTACGGAACCGCAGGTTTTTATCCTAAGTTTCTGTGGGATTTGCTCTCTCCTGTTCATGTCATCTCTTACTCAGGTTGCCTTTTTCAGGCTCTGGTGATGTACTCCTTTGCCAGCTGTGAGCTGTCCATCCTTGCACTCATGGCCTACGACAGGTATCTGGCTATATGTCGACCGCTTCAGTACCACACTGTCATGACAAAGCACAGAGTTGTTAAGTTAGTGTATATTTTTTGGTTAACACCTGTCTGCATTAATTCTGTAAGTATTGTTCTAACATCTAGGCTGAAGTTATGCAGCTCATTTATAAACAAACTTATCTGTGTGAATTGGAGCATTGTAGCCTTAGCTTGCTTTCCAGCTGATATGATTGTTAACAGCATAGTTTCATATCTCACTATTTTAATTTATGTACTCCATGCTGTTTTTATTGTTTGGACATACATGTATCTAATTAAAACATGTCTGGGTTCCATAGAAAACAGGGCCAAATTCATGCAAACATGTGTCCCACATTTAGTCTCCTTAGTCATATTTATAGTGATTTTATTGATTGATCTCATGAGTATGAGATTCGGTTTCGGAGATTTACCTCAAACTGTTCAAAATTTCATTGCCATAGAGTTTCTCATCATACCTCCTATGATGAATCCACTTATTTATGGTTTCAAGTTGACTAAAATGCGGAAAAAAATTCTTCATTTAGCTATTTTTAAAGTTAAATAAATCCATTATTTAAATATACAGTTAAATATTGAATTTTTTGATGGCATTCTTTATGAACTGTCTGACAAAATGTTAACATATAACTTGTTAATTTGAGATAAAGTCATGAAACTAGATGTCTGAACTTGTTCTCTCTCAGCTTCTGTATTAAACTTGTTTTTGCAAAAATAACCTCTTCTGTGTGATATTTTGGCCACTAAAAGCAGGTGCCAAAAGTAATTTTATTATGGGGAAACACAAATGAATCCTTTATAATATTATATAACTATATATAAATATATATAACAGTATATAACAACATACACACACACACACACGTATATATATGTTGTGTGTGTGATCTATGGCTGCTGTGTGAAACTCTTTGAGGTGTTTTATCGAGTGGTCTTCATGTGATCTTCCCGGGTGGAGAAACCTGGAGAAAACCCACACAAACACGAGGAGAACTTGTAAACATCACAAGTCCAAACTAGCATTTGAACCCAGGACCTTCTTCAGCAGTGCTAACCACTAAGGCATCAGGCCAGTTATGATATCCATAAAGTTAATAAAAAAAAAAAAAAAAACTAGTTTTTCTCAATGATTCTTGATACAAATGATGGAATTCGTAAGAGATGTTTTTATAAAATTGTAAAACATATGATGATAACAGAAAAAAAAGAGAAAAAAATCTTAACATGTTGATATTTTCTACATTTTTTTATGTTGTTTTAGCATTTGTTACACAAAAAATACAACCTTTATGTAGAAAAGATGTGGGTTTTAGCCATTAAGTTTTTCCTACCCTGGGTCCTTTTATTCTCGCTATTCTGAAAAGCAGTTTATCCTCAGGTGTGGTGCCAAAAACTTTTAAACATGCTGCTGTCCAGCCCCTCCTGAAAAAACCTAACCTTGACCCCTCAGTCATGTCCAACTTCCGGCCTGTCTCCAGACTCCCATTCACCTCTAAACTACTGGAAAAAATGGTGGAGTCTCAGTTGAAACAGTTTTTGGGGGATCACGCTATCCTAGAGTTATTCCAATCTGGCTTCAAATCTCTCCATAGCACTGAAACTGCTCTACTGAAGGTTTTTAATGACATTTTCATATCCAAAGATGCAGGTGATTCTGTGCTGCTTGTCCTATTGGACCTTACATCTACTTTTGACACCATCGACCACAAGATCCTCATTTCCAGACTGGAGCAGTGGGTGGGCATCACAGGGTCAGCCCTTAAATGGTTTCGGTCCTACCTCTCTGACGGAACCTTCTGTGTCAATATCAAAGATTTTAGTTCGGCATCGACAGCGCTCCAGTGGGGGGTACCGCAGGGGTCCATCCTCGGTCCCCTTCTCTTTTCTTTATACCTGCTGCCACTAGGTGCTATTTTCCGCAAACACAACATACCCTTTCATTTCTACGCCGATGATTGCCAAATTTACTTCCCCCTGAGGCACAGAGGCACACGCTCTATTCAGCCTCTTCTTGACTGCCTGGCTGACATCCGGGACTGGATGGCTTTAAACTTCTTAAGCTTCAATGAGAAGAAGTCTGAAGTCATGCTGTTCCATCCCAGTGGCTCACTCATGAACCATGACATTGACCTTTTCTCTCTAGCCCCGCTAGAGAAACAAAAGGTCACTAATCTGGGGGTGATAATGGACCCATCCTTAAAACTCAACAGTCACGTAAACATGATGGTCAAATCCTGTTTTTTTCAGCTGAGACGGTTGTCTAAGCTGAAGCCTATACTCTCCAAAAAGAACCTTGAGACAGTGATCCACGCCTTCATAACATCTAGGCTTGATTACTGCAATTCACTTCTGTTTGGAATCAGTCAGTCCTCCATTGCTCGTCTACAACTGGTCCAAAATGCTGCAGCCCGATTTTTAACTGGTACAGGCTATAGAGACCACATCACGCCAGTTTTGGCCTCCCTGCACTGGCTACCCATTCACCTTCGGATCCAATTCAAAATTTTCATGTATGTTTTTAAATCACTGAACAGTTCCGCCCCATCCTATCTCACTGATCTCCTGCAGCCATATGTCCCACCACGCTCTCTGAGGTCAGCAGACCAGATGCTTCTCTCAGTCCCAGAAACCCATCGTAAGCTCAGAGGTGACAGGGCTTTCTCTGTTGCAGGTCCACGACTGTGGAATGAGTTGCCACTGAGTGTCCGTCCGGCAGGCTCCCACACTCTCAGTCTTTAAGTCTCGCTTGAAGACCCACTTCTATTCTCTTGCCTTTAACACGGTGTGATTTGTTTTGGTCCTGTCTGTACTCTACACTGTTGGCCATTTTAGTTAGCTTCTGCTGCTATTTGTATCTGTATTTTTATTTTATGTTTTCCTGTCCGCTGTGCATGTTTGTTTTCTTTTGTACAGCACTTTGGTTGGCCTTGCTGCTGTTTTACGTGCTCTATAAATAAATTGGTATGGTATAAAGTGAAGGAGCTATGAGCAGTACCGCCTCCTCGCCGCCAGGGAGCAGTGACTGCGCATGCTCGGCAACAACAGCAACAACGTGAAGCAGAAGAAGGACGCCGACAGCAGCTCGTGAGCACTGCAGTGCACAGCGCCGACCGTCCAACCTCTCTATGCTCGTGTTCGCCTTTCTTCACCACCACCGACGACACGGAGGAAAACAGGCGGCTGTCTTTGATTTAAAACATCCGAGATTTCACGAAGTCCTGCCTCCTTTCACCTCCGCGTGAGTAGTATGTATTTTATTTAGTGTTTAAGGAGGCTGCGGTGGATGAAACATGCTAACGTGATTTTTGTTCCGGTGGTGTTTATGTAATATTAGGCTCGTAATCCTCTACGACAGCGCAGACGTCCGGTTTAACGTGTCAGAATAGCATTAATGGCCCATACATAAATTAAAAAAAGCGTTATTCTATTTATAGGAGCATTGTAGAAATGACGCCTGTGTGCAGCGAGGATTGTAGCGGTTATTATGAGCCAGCTCTCCTCTGTCAGCTGAGCCAGTTCTGAAGGTCCACTCAGGAGTCCGCATCGTGCTCAGTGAACAGGGAGATCCTGACATTAAAGCCGGGCTTGCTGCCGCAGTGTGCAGGTAAACGAGCCGAAAAAGGCTCCAGTCTTTTGGGATTTGTGTTTTATTTTATTTTTACAGGAAAACAACATGCAACATTGTGGTTTGTTTGGCAGTAATTGGTTTATGCTGCTCTTTTCAGTCTCATATTGTAGCAACTCATAGAAGTGCACAAAGTGGGCAAACCTTGTGTGTCTATAAATATATTTCTGAACACTCTTCTGAGCTTGATGGTTGTGTAGCAGCAGAGATTATCCATATGTCATTAACCATCTTATCTCTTCACGTTTTGCTTCCAAGGAACCAGACTTTCTTGGACTCTTTCAAAGTGGTCTTTAATCTTGTAGAGACGTCTATAGTTCGCTAGACTTCCTCTGAAGTAGAGATGTGAATTACGGCTCTTTTTAGTGTTTGTGGGGATCGGGATCATTTGGATTAGCTCATTAAAAATGTTTTCAGTGAGCAGGAAAAACGGGATCAAAACTCCAGAGATGAGTCAATGTCATGTCTACATGTAAGTATAGCAACAGCTCAGTTTATAGTGTATCATAGGCATCCATCCATATCTTTTACCTGCTTCTTCCTTTTCGGGTCAATGCTGGATCACTAGTGCCCATATCCAGCAGTCACTGTGGAAGAGGCGGTGTACACCCTGGACAGGTCGCAAGTCCCATCACAGGGACACATAGAGACAAACAACCATTCACTCTCTCACTCACACTAGGGACAATTTAGAGTTACCAATCAGCCTAACATGCATGTTTTTGGTCTGTGGGAGGAAGCCGGAGTACCTGGAGAAAACCCACGCATGCATGGAAAGAACACGCAAACTGCACCCAAATGAGTCCCCCTGGCCAGGATTCGATCTAGTGTCCTTCTCGCTGAGAGGCAGAAGCTCTAGTAACTGCGCCACCGTGCCGCCCCGTATCATACGCTGTTTGTACAAAAAAACAAAAACACAATTCTCCCCTGTTCCTCGATAACTGTCTCCAAAATGTCTTGAAACATTTGCAGTAGTTCTCATTTTCCTCTTGTAAAATGTAGAGGCATGCAGTCCTGTTGATTAAAAAATACATAAATAAATTTTATTTTTTCAGAAAATCAGTCGTGGGTGTCTCAAACCCTTAATTGTTTCTGTGAATTTTAAAGCACTACACTTTTTAAGGATGCTTACAGCGATTCAACTTTTAAGAAGCATCTACACAAATTTGCAGATATTCAAATTTTTTAGGCTTAAACAGACAATTTTGTTGATTGCGTCTGTTATTTTTTATTACTTAACTAAATATAAAAACCTGTGGTTGTATAGAAACAGTACAAAATCAAACCAAGTTGTGTTTCCCTCTGAAGCTTTATTCACAAGTGAGCACAAATGAAGGTTTAAGTTTAGAAACATTTCACAGCATTTTATTGTGTGGGCAAGGCAAAATTGCCCATTTGCTGAATAAACGTATTTAGCAAAATCTAGGTGCTATAGTCAGCTAAAGCAGTGTATTGTCAACCTTTGCCAAAAAACAGGGTCAAAGCTGACTTGGAGGGCTGACTACACAAAGCCGTACTCTATATTTCACAAAACTGCTGCTCGTCTTGCTGAGGCGACAAGTTAAAAGTGGAGAAAACGGCTGAGATCATTCACTGGGGGGTCCCGTGCCAAACTCAGCGCTGCTGAATGCAGCCGACTTGCTGCAGCGATTTTCCGTAAGTGGATAGAAGCAGCAGAAGATAACGAAAGAGAAATTAACTGCTGCTATAAACTTCTCGGAGCGTCGGCGTGCTCTTCGTTCATTCTCGTGTGTTTTATCCCCAGAGGCAACAGAGGAGGTGCCCATCACCTTCACACAGCCCCACCTGGACAGGAACCCTGTTGTTGCAGATATTACAGCTGTTTACCATTTATAAGCGTAACTAAATAAAGGCCTTGCATTCTTTGAAGGCTAAGAACATCCTATTAAAGTTGTAGCCATTTTGGTCAAACCTCTAAAATGGCATCCTGTGCTGTTTCATGCAGTATCACAGGATGTCACTCATAGGCCTGTCGCGATAATTAATCAATTAATCAATTAATCGCATGATAAGTGCATTTATCGGCTTTATCGTTTCTTCGTGTCTCCCTCTTTCTACTGAAGACACTGGATGACAAAAGGGTCAACCCCGGTGCTCTTCAATGACCCCTCCCTTTCTCTTTCTCTTTAAAATCTGTTTTAACCGTCCAAAATTGAGTTTTTGGATCGTTAAAAGCAGCTAAGCTACGAGCTAAGCTAACAGGCCGACCTCGGGTCGGGGGGGGGGGGGGGGTTGGGGGGGCTTCTTGTTGAAGCTCCAAATTTCACGTGTGAAACCCGTGCCTTTTTGTAAAAAGTTGTTTTTCTGTGCACAAAGAAGCTGAGAACTTGTTTACTGATTTTTTTATTAAATGTGAAAAATGCTATGCTAAAGAGCTCAAACCACACCGAGCGTCCGCCATTTTGAGAACCGAATAACAGGAAGGAGAGACAGCCCATGTCATGTCAAGGGGCCTCCTGTCCATTTTTCTTAAAGAGACACGCTGCTCTCTCCCTCACTATCCATCCTTCAGTTCAAACAGTCTTATACTGCCATCCAGTGGTCAAAAAAGGTACTACACACAAAAATTATCCAACATTTCTTCTTATACTATTTGACAATAATTACCAATTATTGTCAAGTTTCAAACAATATTATCGTTTATCTCAATAATTTCCGAGACAATTAATTGCCCAGCAAAATTTATTATCGTGACAGGCCTAGTCACTCTCAGCTTATGTGTTAGGGTGTTTCTCAGCTACAACCACAAAATCTTAGCTCAATTTCTGTAAAATTGATCAAGTTATAGCCATTTTTGTGGTTTTGAAGGTCAGTTGGTTGGGTCAGCCGTCCTAAATAGAGTTGGCTTCAAATCCAAGTCAGTTGTAGATGTGCATCTAATGATTATTACTCGGAAGTTTCATTAAAATTCATCCTGTGGGTAATGAGATATTTTGCTAACAGACAGACACAATTTTAAACAAAGGTTTTGCGGAGTCTGTTAGCGTTGGTCATCAGTCTCAGCTACTACCACACCAAACGTTGGAGCAAAATTATTAAAATATGGCACATAGTTGAATTAATCGGACTTCTCTTGAAGATGTTGCGGTTCTCCCGTGCGTCGTAAACATTTTCATGAACAGAACTTGAAAGGAGAAGCCGTCTGTCCGCAGGAAGATACATTTTCACCAGATAGAGCTCTAATTACAAACGGATTTCCTCGTAGAGTGACTGAAACATTGTTTGACTTATTTTTGGTTGAAAAGCATTTAGAGCAGCTTTAAAAAATACTGTTAGTGAAACCCTATCTTGACTTATCTTGTGTGCGTTTCCTGACAAACACCAACAGACATCCTGTTTTTGTCCGTCTGAATTAGTTGTGGATGTAGATAAACAGCAGTAACAGAGTCGGGGTGTTTTGCCGCCCAGTCCGTCCATCTCTGCTTCTTTTCTCTCTTTAACCCTCTAAAGTTTTCCTCGACAGAAACACTTGAAATGTAGAAGCTTGAAAAACAAACATAAAACAGTAAAAGTGTTATTAACTGTAAATGTTGGCTATTTAGCACTAAGCATTATTCTGAATTAGTATGGCTTTTGTAAAACCATTCAACACCAATTACACAACCCAGAAAAAGTTTTCCTCTGCTCAGTCGTTTTCTGAGAACTCCAGTTGCTTAAAGTGAATGAAGTGAAAGCTCCTCAGAATGTAGTGAGATTAAAACATGAAGTTTATATTTCGCAAGGGCTTTTACAAGTTGTCTATTACACTTAAAATGTAGGTGAAATGAAACCAATTAGCCTGCTGCTCTGTGAAATGCAGTCTGAGCTTATTTTATGTTTAAGAAACGGTCGCATTCTGCGTAAACGCTAACTTGGATGTGGCTGTGGTTGCACTTTCCAGCTGTTCTGAGTGAACACCACTTCTGTTTCATGGCTGACTGGTAACCTGACTCCACTTTAACAGGTAGTGCACCTGGCAGTCTGGGTGCATCCACTCTACTAGCACTTCCTTTGCTTTTTCAACTGCACAAAGCTTAAAAATTACACACCGGAAGTGCATTCAAGTTAAAATCATTGTAGTACCTCACATGGCAGTGACAAATACCTGTTTGTTTTGGTCAAACATTATTATAATTCTTTTAATTATTACAAGAACAAGTAAGCCAGGTAGTAGAGAATTTGTTTTACAGCTGGGCAGAACTGTTGGTTATGTTGTGTTGGGAGTTTAAGACTGTTGCTTTAGCAGCTCCAAAATACTTTTTTCTCCATCCCACTGATCGTTTGGTCATCATTGTTTTGGATCTTTATTGTTGGTATTTTTATACCTCGCTGTTATTTTTATAAT